TCTATGTTAGAAAGTGAGATCTGATACGAGGGAGCACAAGCACACAATGGAGGCTGAGCTAAAGGGCAGGGGAGAGACATGCAGCAGAAATGATCCTGCTTCTGGGGCTTTGCCCTGTTCTCTAAGGCAACAACCTGCTCTTTCTCTGCCTCAGAAACATGACTCCCAAACTGTACTTGACCTTTCTGAAGAGCAAACAATCCTCTGCCTGAGTAGACCGCAAGTACAACTGAGTCTTCAACCATAAAAAAAGAAAAAAAGTTGAGTGATTTGAAAACAGAACAGTAACTTGTAATAATTAAAAAGAGAACAGAAAAATGCTTAGTAAGTTTAATTAAGCACAACAAGCACAAGGTGCTGGTGGGCTGCAGTCTAACATAAAAAACCTCTGCACACTCAGCACAGCACAAGCTTAGGTGAGATGCATCACAAAGAAATGAGAGCAGCTCACGACAGACACACACTTCCACTGATGAGGAGCACTAATCATAGCACTTGGTATCCAGCAGAACTCCTTGAATGCACACAGTAGATGGATATGTTTCATCTTCCAGTCTTGTGAAATGAATAAGCCAATCAGGAGCTGGCTCACCTCCACAAAGTCCCACATTACAATAGATCAAGAGACAGAAATGGGAAGAGACAGGCTGCAGAGTAGAGAACTCCTTTCATAAATACACTGTTTAATCACACACACATACAGATGTGGTGAAGGCTGAATGGGCGGCGCACACAAGTCCTGCTGTGACCTCAGTCAAAAGTAAAACATCCTGAGCATCTATCTGAATAAATCCCTCTGTCATTCTCAGCTTCTCTATCTGAAATTCTCTCCCCTCTTCCTTCCCATCCAGTGCTCTCCTTCCATGTTGTAAAGTTCTCCATCTGCTCTCTGAATTACTGCCTGTGATCCCACAAAGATGGAAATCAACCAGGCTTTTCAGGAGTCTGATTGAGGCCCGGTCCCTACTGCCCCTCGCCGTCTATCCACAAATGGTGGCCTGGCTCATGTGGGGAACTCTCTGGGGCCAAGCAACATTTTCAACATGATGGTTACTTTTTCAACTACAATAATTCACAAATGCATCCTGAGCTCTTTTTTTATTCACTTAGATACCCATTATAGTGAACACATCTAATGGACTCTCAAGGACCATTATCTAACAGCTAAAAATAGCTACTGTGGTATGAATAATGTAACAGTTATGAACATTCGCCTTAATAAGTCACTTAAATTGGTAGCGTAGACACATAAATAGTGTCAAGACAATAGCTTGAAGAGACACAATGCATACTAACAATGTTAGCTACGTAATAAACATGTTTTTATTTTAGCCATCTCTATATCTTATTTGGGCTACTCTCCAATGTGTTTAACCCCTTTAAAGCTGCACTTAATTGATTATTTTCATTATTTATTAATCTGCCAGTTGTCTTCTCAATGAATTGTCTTGTCAGTAAGATATACATAAAATAAGTGAAGAATGCCCTTTATACAGCATTTTCACACATCCAAAGGTGAGATCTTATTTTGTGTTGTCTGACCAATAACCCAAATCATGGACAGGTCAGTATTGCATCTCTTTGTGATTGTTTTGGTAGTTTTGTGTCTCATCGTGATAGCTCTGTGGTTCTTGTAGTCCCTTCATGCCTCTTTATGGTCAATTTGTGTCTCTTTGTAGTTGGTTTGGGTCTCTTTAGGATGGCTCTGCATGTCTTTGTGGCCATTTTGACTCTGTTTGTGGTCATTTTGCATCTATTTGTAGCCTTTTAACTGAGCTCTATGACTTTCAAACAAGAAATATTAACAGTCACTTCATACAAAGGCTCAGGCCCAGGGCCCCCTGACCCCTCGGGCCCCTGGGCATGTGCCTGGTGGGCCCATTTGGTAATCCATCAATGGCCCAGACCCCAACAATATTCAGTTTACTATTATGTATGACAGAGAAATGCATTAAATCTCCACATTTAAAACCACCAAATGTTTGACATTTTTGTTTATAAACTGACTAAAACGATTAAAGCACAATTATCAAAATATGGTCACAGCTCTGATCCCTTTATGCTTCGCGGTGCCGGTGGTCCAATACAACTTTTCCCAGTGCTGTTGCTAATGTTTATGCAGTATAAACTCAAAGTATTACTCATTCCATGTCATGCTTTAACTTTGAAAGTCTGGGCCTTCACCGCGCTTTTCATCTGAATCCATGTGTTATTTTCAATGAACTATTCACTGAAATAAGCAAAAAGGATGTTCTCCCTTAACTTTAGATCAAACTGAGAAATGAGTCATGAGACACAGGATAATTACACCATTGAACTGACAACATTAGCTGCTAATAAAGGAGACAGATGGTAAGCGAACATCCATTCTATTCCCATAAGAGAGTACAGAGTTAAAGTGTCAGACTGGGCTTTAAACACACACAGAGGAACTGGACTTTCATGTTCACAGCTCTTTGTGTCTGAGTAAATATGAGTCAAATCTTAGTTTTTTCCCCTCTTATCAACTTCACTGTGATCAGTCCAGTGCAGCAGAGAGCCTCCATATTTCATAGCCTCTAATTTCACTACCTTGAACTGACAGCCTGGGCTGACCACAGCAAAGGCAGTAAAGAGTTACAGTAAATATGAATTAGATCAGGTGAAAAGGGCAAGAAATCCCCAACAAAGTGCAGAGTGTTGGCTATTATTTAGCATTCGCGGATTACAATGTAGTCGTCACAGAATCACAGCAATATAGCGTACATCACTCTGAAGACTGCGGGAGTAGTGCTGGATATCGAACTTCATCATTGAATGGGCATTGATCGAATTACTTCAATACTATAGCTTCCAAAAATGTCAAGTATCAAAAATGCTTTTCTACATTTTAATTATTGATGTTAACAGATCTCAAGGTTGTGGCAAATGGTTTTACTTTTTATTTTATGAAACTGTGTTGAGTGCACATAAATGCCAAGGAACTGAAAAATAAAAGTAATGTCTGCAGCAAAATGCATAATGTATGTATATTTTCTTATTAAAATTGTTTTTATAAAATTGGTATCAAATAAAGTATCGTTTAGGAACCAGTATCGAAGTTGAGGTATCTGTATCAGTACCGGTATCGAAAATTTGTTGAAGTCAAGGCTGCATTTATGCTCCTCAGCTTCTCCTCTTACAGACAAGTGGAGAAGCATGAAGAAAAGTCAGGCCAGGGGATCAGTCACATATATGAGAAGCCATAAAAAGCTGGCAGCGTCAACTATCAGCAGCTAATGGGAAGGTAAAAGTACAGATGGCGAGGCTTGCAACACTCCAGTTAACAAACTAAAAAACCAACACCATGTAAATTTTTGTTGACAGAAACTCTCATGCAGCCGTAGTGAAGCATTGCTGTTCCACTGAGCTCTTTTAATTACCTGTTTGTGATTTAATTCTTCATGTCTCAGCCCATTCATTTTAATGATTTGCTCCATTCAGCTCTAAACAATACAAATTCCGCTTGCATGGGTTTGTTGTTGCTTTTCTTTGTTGTTACTTCTTTCACTGAGTTATATTTGCAAATGCTATACTAAGCTTTAGGAGTGTTTCCCATTTTTTCATGAAGCATAATCAAGATTTGCTTTTTTCCACAATGCATGTGACAAGTTCTGTTATACAGTGTTGAAACAGCCTGCAGTGTAAACATGATCAGTATTACTGCTGCCTAATCACCTTTGATTTATGTTCCACGGGAGTAAAATTAGGCATATGTACAATATATGTGTGTGACAAACACATTCATACAGGCCCAATTTTAGCCTTCATGCAAAAAAATTTAAAATAAAGCACTGTAATTACATTGATAAAATGACTGAACAGAATTCAGTGAATAAAAGCAGATTCAGAAAATGGTCCGTGTCAGATTGATATGAAAGATATTTTTAACACTGTCTTTTTCTCCTCCTCTCGCTCTGTATGTGGAAAGATTTCTTTATCCTACTGAAAAGCTACTGTGAAAATGACATGGTGCACAAGTCAGAGTAAATTTCTGGGAAACAATCTTAGAAAATGCATAACTTTTTTATCCTTTTATCTGAAATATACACAAAATAGCTTGCTTGCTCCTAAAACAGAAAAGGTTGGTTAAGAAATAAAGGCCTTCTCTAAAACCTGTTTAGCATGTGAATATGTATAATTTTCCTCATCTTGGGAGATTTGGGGCTGATTTGTGAGCACAAATAAGTCTTCTATGGTTGGAAAACCCAAAAGACCAGAGGGAGCTCAGGAGAAAAATCCAGCAGCTTTGACAATGAATGCATTTCCCATCACTCAGTGGAAGGCTACATCTTGGGATATTAAGAATGAATGAATAAATAAATAAATAAATAAGCCTCAAACCTCATAAAAATGTAAACTCACTGGGTCCTAGTGAATAGTAATGCCACCCGACGCCAAACAGTATGTAGCAGCTGAAGGTCTTGGTCTGTCTGGAGGTTCATGCCCACAAATATTGATTCAGTTGCCTGAAGGTGGTGGAAGTGTCGCTGGTTGCGTCTTAGGGGAATATTCTCGGGTCTGAATGAACTCATTTCTAACTTTGGATCACAATTTCAAGTACGTTTTAAGCTACCTAGCGCCTTTCACTATGCTTGAGTAACAAAAAGCAGGAGGGCAGAAGATTGTGTTTTGAGAAATTTGAGTTTTTCCAGAACACCAAGACGCAGTCCTTCTAAATAACCGACATTTTTTTGTAGGCGTATATACTTTCTATATACTACTAAGAACTTAATACTTCATTTTTTAAAGTTATTAAACAATTTGTTTTTCGTTTGCACTGGGTGACTTGACGCTGTCCCATTATTAGGACATGGGAAGCAGCAGTGAGCCGCAGATAAACGCAGCAACGTGTTTCGGAAAGGGGCCACAAAGTTGTTATCTTTACCAAACTCGCTCCGCCTTTGCTTTCACTTGACTTTCATCCACATGTAAGAACTTCCAAACTGCGTGTACGTCACCGAGATGAATATGTGTCTTACCTGTTGGACCCTCGATGCCATCGGCGTAGATCTGAACAGTCAAAATCAGCAGAAAGGCGCAGGTGTTCATCGTGTAGCTGTTTTAGTCCACTTTAAATGAGCAGAAGGAATCATTTCATTCACTCCGTGAGGTCCAGGCTCGCAGGCAGCAGAGCCGAGCCCATCTATTCCTCCAGTTTTCACTGAGTGGAGTTTCAGAGACACTGAGAGGGACGGGGCAGAGCTAGTTCTGCAAACTGACGTCAGGGTAAACAGTTCAGGGGAGAGATTTCTTTCTTAAGCCCACTTTCCTACCCAGCCTCCACTTCTCTGCAGATACAAAGTATGAACGGGGCGCCTCCAAGTGGTCACATGCAGCAACGATCCTGTGGTATTCAAGCGTCGGTCAAGTAAAACACCGTGTGTAGGTGTGTGTCTGTGTGTGCGGGGGGGTAAACCTGTTTATACAGCTACATTGTACTGTGGGGACTCCACGTCCTTAAATGGATAAAAAGCGAGTCTCCAAAACAAAGCATTTGGTTTCAGGTTAAGGTGAAGTTAGGGTAAGTTTCCAGGAAATTAATGTTAGTCTGTGTGTCTGTGTGTACAGTAGGTGCCTTTGTATTACTTACATCATGAGGACCGAAACCTGTTAACACACTCACACTGTGGGGACTTGGCCATCCTTGTGGGGACCAGAAGCTAGTCCCCACAAAGAAATCACTGAATTTTAGGGTGGCAACATGGTTTAGGGTTAGGTGTTAGGGTAAGTGTTAGGGTCAGGCAAGTAGTGGTTATGGTTAAGGTTAGGATAAGTCTACAGGAAATGAATGTAAGTCAATGTAAAGTCCCTACAAGGAATGAAAACACAGTGTGGGTGTGTGTGTGTGCGTGCGTGTGTGTGTGTGTGGCATGTAGTTGTCATCCTCACTCTCACTTACTGCTTATGTGTTTTTTTCTACATAAACAGCTGTTTTACAGCCAAGGTTAGTCATATGTTCTCATAGGCCAGTCAGACAACACACCTTATACCTCCCCGTGACAGGTGCAAAGCATATTTCTCCATAAATTAGATCTTAGTCTGCCGGGCTGTGTGCACAGAATTTGTGTTTGATGAGGTTACAGGGTTATTTCTACCCACAGCTGACAATATTTGGTGGAGAACACCTGGCAAAAATCACTCCTGGCTTTTATGTAATGTGCAAATGTAAAGGGCAACATATTGCACCTATGTAATAAGATAACACAGAAAGACTTGTAAAGCCATAGTGACTGATGTGTAAAATGTGCCACATTATCTGGCATGTCATAGTTCTTTATAGCATTACTGTTGTATATCTGATTATGAATTGTTGGACAATCTTCATGCACAACAAAGTGTCCTGTTGTATTTGATTACAGCTCTACATGGTGTTTGTTATCACCTTTGAAATTAAACATGCTGTACAAGAGCTAATGTTGCAGCTACATTTTTGCCTGGACCAAGCTGGTGTTAAAACATGGCTGGGCACATTCAGCTGTGGCTCCAGGATTCCCAATTGGATGCATTGTGGAGGGTATTAATCATTTATTTTGTTGTTGAATGTGAACATTAAAGCTTTGGATTAAAAGAAAAAGGCCCAACAGATGCATCTAAGGCTTCCAATATCAGCATACGTCTCAGTCTCTAATGTTGTTAGCCCCAAATGATAGATGAACAATGGTTTGCTTGGCAAATTACAGAATATAACCACAGGAGCACAGCGTATGTCAAGCTAACACCTGTAATTACACCTGCTTGATGCATGGCAGCCATTTTAGCGCCCTGGAATTCAAGGCACAGAGTAGCAATTTATTTAAACTAGGGAGTATTTTGGCCTGAATCTATTCAAGTGTATAATAATTTAATTTCTAGTAAACCGAGCACCTTGATTTTCAAATCCAACAACAGGACAGGTGTCAGTAAGGATGCTGCTACATTGTGATGAAAGTCATTTCATTCAATTTTTCCAATTCAATTTTATTTGTATAGTGCCAAATCACAACAAAGGTCATCTCAGGACACTTTATAAAGTAAGGTAAGACCTAGACCCTATTATCATTATTATTATTATTATTCGCTATTGCGGTTGCCGGCAATAGGACTTCAGCCAGCATTGTTACAAACACTGGCACCCCACAGGGATGTGTCCTCAGTCCCATCCTCTACACTCTGTTCACCCATGACTGTGTCACCTCCCATAAAGACAACATCATCCTGAAGTTCGCGGACGACACCACAGTGTTTAGGTCACATCACTGGTGGGGACGAAGCAGCCTACAGGAGGGAGGTGGCCGGTCTGGTGTCATGGTGCAAGGACAATAATCGCAGCCTCAACACAGACGAGACGAAGGAGATGATAGTGGACATGAGGAAGGAGAGGAGATCTCATCAGCCACTGTTCATCCGGAGGCTCGAAGTGGAGAGGCTGAGCAGCTTCAAATACCTGGGCGTCCACATCAGTGAGGACCTCACCTAGACACTTAACACCACACAGCTGGTCAAGAAGGCCCAACAGCGGCTGTACTTCCTGAGGAAGCTGAGAAGGTTTGGTTGTATTTTTCATTATGCTTCTTTCATCAGCTGTTTTAAAGTGCCTTAGACTTTGAGATTTAGATTTTGTGTTACCTATGTATCTACTTTATATTTCACTTATATTGTGTGACATTTGTGTGGATGGCAAAATAAGAATTTCATTGTACAAGGAAACATGTTTCCTCACTGTGCATATGACAATAAACACTTGACTTGATTTGACTATTATTATTATTATTATTATTATTATTATTATTATTATTATTATTATTATAGAGGGAAAAACCCAACAAATCCCCCCTGGAGCAGCACTTGGCGACAGCAGGGAGGAAAGACTCCCTTTAATAGAAGAAACCTCCAACAGACCCTGGATCTTGGTGGACAACCTTCTACCTCGACTGGCTGGGGTGAGTGGAAAGAGGAGAGAGAAAAGAAAAGAAATGAAAAGCAACAAGACACAACCACAAACAATCAAACAATGGGCAGGTTAATGTGGCCATCAGAAAAGTAGAGCTCCAGAGCCAGGGCAACCTGCAGAAAGGTACAGGGAGAGAGAGGACACACTACGGGAGAGAGGAGACACACAGTTAATGATGCGTAATGGTGGCATATAGATGGATGGAGAAAGAGAAGAGGGACTCAGAGCATCATGGGGGCCCTCCAGCAGCCTAGACCCATAGCAGCATAACTAAAGGAAGGCTCAGGGTCACCTGAGCCAGCCCTAACTATAAGCTTTATCAAAAAGCTTTTTTATCAGTTGCCATTCATAACCAGTGGTGAAAGGTAACTAGGTACATTTACTTAAGTACAATTTTGATGTATCTGTACTTTACGTAAGTATTTTCATTTTCTTTTCCTTCATACTTTTTACTCCACTACATTTATTTTATGACTTTAGTTACTAGCTACTTTTCATAACCATATTAATACAGGAAATACAGTATAATTATAAAACCTGAGTGATCTGTGGTGGAAAATTCACAAGCTACCCAGCAGTAGTTCAAATTATAAGCTATCATATAAGCTAGTTAAAACTAGCTCCACCTTTACCAGCTGTGATATTGAATATGACATACACAATAATGCATCAGTAATTATAATACAATAATATGATACAGAGATGTGAAATGTGCCGTTCTGCATAATGAGCACTTTTGCTTTTAGTACTTTAAGTATGTTTTGATACTAATACTTTTGTACTTTTAGTTAAGTAACATTTTGAATGCAGGTCTTTTACCTATAACAGAGTATTTTTACATTGTTGTATTGCTACTTTTACTTAAGTAAAGGTTCTTCCACCACTGCTCATAACCACTCATAAACAATTCCATCTGCGCAGGAAGTGTTGTGCATGAATTTATAATAACATATCATTACAGCCCTGAAGGAAGTATTCAAAGGCTGGCTATCAAACTGTCACTGTCTACCACAAGGCCTTGGTAAGCAGCATGGCGCTTAAAAAGTAAATGAACATTGAATCACACAGGGCAGAAAAAGTGCTGTTACACTTGTATCTGTGAGTTGAAGCTTTAAGACAGGGCCAAACACAGCAGGCAGTTATATCACAAAAGATTTCCACTGCTTGTCAAATAGAAAATGACTGTTTGACATCAGTGATTGTCATGTGAAGTGTTGCGCTTGCACTGTGCAAAGAACCTACAGAGCAGCTGTGTTCCTCCCTGTGTGATTGAATGATGAAATACCCATTAACTTCTGTTCTATTGAGATGAGGTTTGCACAGCCTCACTGTTAAGAAAGGCGAGATAAATGAAATATCTTAGATTTAAACCAAGAAGAAAGATAAAGAGAAATCTGTCTGTATTTCTAATATGTTGGTGTCCTGCAGTGATCGTCTTCAAAACCTGCCATAAAGAATTAAAGAGCTGAAACATGAGCTTAGACACTGCTTCTTGTTGGTATTGTTCAATCTTACAAGATCATTTTGGTCATTTTATCTCCCCTAGCATACTTTCATATTTTTGTTCCTTTATAATTTTCTACAGTAAAAAGGGAAGAAACTGTTCAACAAGATTCTATAGTTGCAGTATGCTAGTACACAGTACTCTGTTTAAAGCAACAGCATGTCAACAGTCAAAATACTTACTTTTTCAATAATTTCACTGTCAAACTGTCAAAAAGTAATAATAATGTGTTCTTCAGGCAGTGAGAGCCCAGTGCATAGATCCTAGGCATGTGTTAGGCATACTGACCAGAGCCTAAACCAAGCCTGAGTGCTAAATATTTCACAAAATCCAAAAACTTAAAACACAAATGTTGACTCGCAACAAAAAGCAGGATATTAATTAACACAGACCAGTGGGATAGCACCATGTGTAGTGTTGCTGCCTTCAACAGCTTTCTCACCAATAACACTGTTATGGATTTTGTTCTTTTCATTCTGGCTGAGCCTCAGGTCCAGAGCGTGCTTCACTGAGTCTAAAAGCCCAAACATCTCACACAAGGAATTAAGTATGATGGCATCTGGCAAAACAAAATAAGCAGTCAGCTACAAAGCTTGAATGATTAATAACACTATTCTTTATCAATTTGTCCACAACACATTGTACAGGATTGGAAATCACTTATTAAAGTCAATTACTATGATTTTCCTTCTCAAACTTGATATAGCCACTGGAGTCTTTATTGGAAATCATTTTAAAATTAATCTGCATTTCCTTAACTTAGACAGGTCCTGTTGCAGGAACTCACCTGTCTCCTGTAGCTTGGCCTTCTCGCTGCGAATCTCCGCTTAAAAGTGGCTAATAATATGGTCTGGAGACTGGACAGGACCTC